TCTTATAAGCTAGGACTGTTTTTCTCTTTTTACGGTAATGAAAGCAGACAAAGGCTAAAAGACCTTAAATAAGTAACAGAAGTTCTAGCTATAGTTGCTTCAAAACATCTTTCCATGGAAAACATTCAACTGTTGCAATCTCAGTGAGAAAGTCTTCCTCTACCTGGAAATAAATTCCAGTAAATTATCAATGTGACCCAAAAGAGAATAATCAAAAAATTGTTCCAACGTATCTATGTTAGTAATTCTGACCAACTCAAACACCAATTAGGGCAACTTTACATTATCATAACCAGTTTGTTGTTTTTCCTACAGAAGTAGCCAGTGAACATGAAATCAGCCTCAGGTTACAATTTGTTTACTGAGTACAAAATTCCTCTCTACAAGACGTTTGGATAAACGCTCTCCAATCGCAGCCCAGGAGCTTTACAAGTAACACCAACAGCTGGCCTCTAACTCAAACACGACTGTTACTCATCATCATGAAATGGCATTCGGATGTGTGAATAGAGATGGATCACGGTTGTGTGGCTGGTCAAGGACCTCACAACCCAGAGCCGGGTTTCTTTGTCCGAGTTCCCGGCACACCCTATTGCTGTAACACCTCTTTCCTGAGACTGCTGGGAGATTTCACCGAGAACAGTCTATGTGAGGTTTCTAGCGCAGATGGGCAAACGTGGGCTCAGAGAAGTTAAGCAACTTGCCAAGAGCAGACAGCTGGCTTGGGGCGGAGGTGCCTTTCACACTTAGGTGTTACTTCCTGTCCAAAGCCCTTCCGGTTACTAAGCATACAAAATGCACCCCGTGTGACGGGCTCTGGAGAAAGCCCTTCACATGGATCTCTCCATTTCATTCACACAGGGACTTAAACATAATCTAAACAACTGGTTCACAGTAAAGGAGTTAAAGCAGATCTTGGATATATGCTCATGCGCTCAGGCTCAGATTTACAGCTACGGTGAGATTAGCTTTCTGCTCTCAGATTGCTGGTACCGTTGGTAAGGCAGAGCGGAGGAGCTCCCGCACTTCTGGCCCAAGGGTCCACTGCTGTTTCCGAGCAGCGCGATGCGGCCACAGGCATCAAAATTACGAATGCCACACACCGACAGCCAAGCAATCTCGCTCTGGGAGTTTAACCCACCAACATCCTCAGCCATGTGTGGAATACACAAGAACGAGAACACACTCTGCGGCACGTGCGCAGTGTTGAGCAGCGAGGAGCCGGCTCAGCAACCTGCGGCTCGTGTGCACGGTGGAGCACTCTGCAGTCCTAACAGCGAGAGCGATCTTTATGAAGTGACCAAAAATCACCTCCAAAATATGCTGGCTAAAGAAACAAACAGGCAGCGAAGCACCTAAGACAGGGTGTCTCTGGTAAGACACAGCTGACATTTACAGAACATCAAGAGTTAGAGGGACAAACAACAGAGCTGGGGTAGACACTGAAGGGCAATCCCGAGGCTTGATTCCTAAAGGTCCCCATTTCCAGCCGCCACATTAGGGGGAACGCTACTGTCTCAGACAGACAAGAAGTAACCACATGAGAAAAGCTGCCTTGTCCACCTGAGAGTGAGCTTTGCCAGCAGTGGTGATTTGGGCGGGAGGCTAAAGGGACAGATCTAGGGCTTCGATGAACTTACAGAACAGGCTGAGTGATGCGTTTGGCCTGCCTGATTCTGACTGCGTGTGTCACAGTTTGTAGAGAGACCTGTTTTCACTGAAACCTGGGCGCAAAACTGTGGGGAGAGGGGAGGTCATCCTCACCCGTCTCAGCTCTCTATAGTGGCGACTGTCATCTACCAAAGAGAACCCGGGAGTCATTCACGATCACAACGGCAACAGGCTGCCACTGAGGGAGCTCCAACCACCATCTTACCATCAGATTTATGCACACGGGAGTCAAATGCCAGTAATTACTTCCCCAATTCTGGGGGACACGTGCCAGGCTCTCCCAAGGCCCTCTCCCATGTGCAGGACTCCAGTCCCCTGGCAGACATCCAGCTCTGGGGAGAGGCCCAACCCCTCCTCCAAACAAACACCGCACCTGGCTGAGTGCCTCCCTGCAGCATCCTCACTTGGCGAGAGGGAGAGGGAAATCACTCTTGCCTCTTCTGTGGGCATGAAAACGCCACTGCAAGTGAGCTTGGCAAGGTATGCAGGTGCTTTCACACCCTTGTGCTCTTGCTCATGACGTTACAGCTGCCTGCCTCCTAGACTGTTTCTGACTGCCACTCCAAGAATTAGGCCAACAATTCATCTACATTAATGCAACAAATACCAATTGAGTATATTCAAGCACTGCTTCCTCTATCATCTCAGCCACCTTTGGTCCTACAGATCACTGTGGCACCATGACTTGTCTACTCCGAGTCGCTTCCCCACAAGAATGTGAATCTTTGAGGGAAGAATCATTCTGCATGGTGCCCAATACACAGGAGGCACCCTTAAAATGACTGCTAAGTAGAATCTGTGGATAAAGTGTTATTTGCCAAGCTTCACTTATTCTTACTTCTTTTGAAACAACTTGCGCTTCTCAGCTTTCCTCCTCTTTAGAAGTCCTTCTAATTCACATACAGGATCGTGAGGCTGCTCTCCACAGAACGTTCGGGACAATGGACGCTCTGAAATCTGTCCAGCTAGGAGAGCAGCTGTGGTTTGGCTCCCCATTTCCATCCTACTACATTAACACCGCTCCAGCTCAGGGGCCGGCCGCATCTAACTTGGCCAAGATCAGGAGACAAACGAATACTGAAAGGGTGAGGTACAGAGTATAATCCGTTGACCCTGCTTACACTCCGTCTACAATCCACAGCAACTACAATAATTGAAGTGAACATAAGGGGTAAGCACGCGATCTCCACAAACATCAAATGCAGTTAAAAAAAAAAAAAGTGACAGCATTCACAAAATCTAAAGAACACACATAACCTATGTTATACTGCACAGATTCAAACTTCAATCTCATTCTAATGGGCTACCGCTAGAGAGATAAAGCTTGTTTTAAAGAAAAAAATTGTACACAGAATAACCGTATAAGTTTCCTGGTGATTCTCACTACGGCTTCAATGTATTTTCTTATTGAAACAATCAAAGAAGCTCTTGGCAAAAAAAATTGGTATTGGTGTCAGAATAATGTAAGAATTGAAACTATTTATAATGTAAAAATTCTGTTTAAAGCAGATGTATCACTTCTTATTTTTCTCATTTTGAAAAGAAGCTATGTTTCATTCAGTGATAATTCTTCTCTCGTTCTATCAGAGAATCTGTACAAAAGCAATATTTCAGCTAAAATCAGTTCTGAAGGATCTTTTATGAATACGTATAATGCAGAAGACCCCAATTAAATTTCCAACGAAGCAATGCCATTTTCAGTAAACAAAGTCATCTCAGTAGGGTCACACTATTTGCAAAAACTGTAGCCTAGAAATTAATTACTAGTATGACATATGTCAAAACAAATTTTTAAAAGACCAGAATGCAGTTGTAACCATGTGTTTTATCTGTTTGTATGCAAAACCAGTATTGCCTGGCATGTAAATATATTCATTTATTCAGCATCTCTCAGAAAAATAAAAAAGGTTCAGTGTCCCCCTGGTTTACTGTTCCCCAGTGAAATCTGAGTAAATCACATGTTTAGTGAGTCAGAAAATAACTACAGAATGAAGATACAGTGTGGGTGATATTTTTGAGAGACAGAAGTCACCATCACACAAATAAACTAATTTTAAAACATTCAGTTTTCCTTCAAAGGAAGTTTTTCTAAGATCTACATCAACCACACCATCCTACACCAAAGGCTGTTACCTTGTGGAAATCAAAGCTTTAAATAACATGTAACAGTGCTGGTATTTCATAAAAAAGATTGCCGTCTATAGTAAAAAAACAAAACACACAAGAACTACCTGGGAATAAAATTAGGGATTTCAGACAATTTCAATGTTCTGCTAATTACAGCAATATTTATTTAAATTAAAAACATTTTTATAAATGTAAATATTTTAGCACCCAGGGAACTCCAAGTAGAAAAAAGAATACAGAGCAAGGGTATGCAGATTCCCCTTTGTATTTTCTTTAATAGGAAATTAAGTCCCAATCCTTTTCACAATGTATACATATAGACACACACACACACACACACACACACACACACATATATAAACCCATTCTACCCATTCATTAGAGATATATGTGTGTGTGTGTGTATCAAATCATAATCACATTGTACACTTTAAATACCATACAAGTTTAGTTGTCAATTATATCTCAATAAAGCTGAAAAAAAATCCTAGGATTTAAACTCTTAAAAAAAAAATTATATCCCAAACCAGACAAAGACTGTGATAAATCTTGCATAAACCAACTTTTAAACTTCAAAATATTGTCCTCTATGTGAGGCAAAAATTAAGATGTACTTCCTGTAGGAAGATACTGGTATCACTTTGATTTTTCCACTAACAGCAGAAGAAATATACTGAATCCCTGACTTTCTTAGTAATCACAAGAAGTGAAGTGGCTGCTGGGCACACACTGAGCAGCAAGCCGCCCGCAGGGCCAGCACCCCAGTCCCAACGGAACGCCCCAGCTCATCACACCTTGTTATCGGGAAGACAAGAGTTGACCACACGACACAGACTTTAGAGACACTTGTCTCCTCAAGCGCTTCTTTCATCACCAAGTGTTCGTTAATTCAGTGTATTCTGGTAATTAACTTGGTATCTTACCCTTAGCAGTTGTTTCTTACTATTTCAGCCAAAGCAGACATTCGGCCACCCCAGCAACAACCACACCACAGGCTGGGAGCTGTTCTGACCAGGGAGACTGCTCTTTCAGCAAACCCATTCTGCCCATTCGTTAGATCTAAGAACCAGGATAAGACTAAACAGTATTTCAAAAAGTGATCATCATTTCTCTTAAATTTTTAAAGCAGTTTCTCTGAATAAATTTATTCAACAAAGTATATCATTCTTTTGCACTTCAATACTGGAAATTGAGTGAGTTACCTCTCTTAAAACTGTGCTTTTGTAGCCTCGATATAATCCTTGGACGCCCTGAAAAAAACAAAAGGCCAAGAGCTCAGAAAGCTAGAACAGCAGAGAGTTCTGAATGACATTCTCTAGTCAGAATTTTACCTTTGTAACTTCTCTGAAGTCAGAGTTTTAAAACATTTACAATGACCACAGTTCCATAAGAGGTTAAAGGTTATAAATTAAAGCATACAAGGCTCAGGTCAGCTCCCTTTAAAATAGGAATATCTCTAAAATAATCAAATGGACTACCTCAGTTGTTTTCAACATTTCTGCTTGAAAAATCATACTTAAGATGTTTTAAATAAATACATTTCCAAAAGCAAAGGCATACATAATGCCAATCATCCCTTCACATAAAAACATAATTATATTTCATAGTTTCAATCAGAAGACATCAGAAATTCACTAATAATCCCTCCACAGTGATAAATATCTCTGGACAAGCCGTGACTTACTTAACTGTCCACATGATTCACAACAGGGTCCCTTGACTCGACTGGACTGATCTCATGATCCTATGATTAAATATTCAGTACCTCCTCACCAAAGTGACAAAGGGACCATTAAGTAGAATAACTTTTCTAAAACCTAGACTCACTGAAAATTTCCACATGACTGAGTACTATTTGTTTGTTTTTTTAAAAAGGCTTCTGTAAAAATTATAAGAAAAGCAGCTTAATGGTCCTTTCCGACAGGGCCAGCAAGACTGACTTCTGACCCATAATGTAACATTAACAAGGAAAAAAATAACTTTAATATAAACTTTATGATGCTAGTCCCTACGTCCATTACTACACTTCTCTTCCATGGGTCCTCAAGTTCTGTAGTAACATTTTAATATATCTTTATTCACTTCACATTTTTATGATTTATTTCATGTCTGATTCTGAAACTACTACAGGACAATTACAATGTAGGACACATACACAGTAGTGATACTCGGTATGTGTTGTTCAGAAATTTGGGGGGAAATTTAAAATTAAAATTTGAAAACAAAGAAAAGGCAAAGATAATCTTAGCATAAAAAGATACTGTGACCCAGTATTAAATTTAGCTTTATGGTACTCTTCTAAGACTCCTGGGATAAGAATCACAATATTCCTAATAGCTACTATAAAATCTTTCTCAAAAAGGAAAAAAGTTTAAAAACACATCTCACCTCTGTATATAAGATGTTAGAGAAAATGTGAAACGTTCTTGAAGAAGCAGATACCTGTGCCCTCTGCTTAACAACTTCAGAAGGAACTCGTATCAGGCAGGCAACCTAAAATACATAATTTAATTACATCCTAAAAAAGAAGTAATTTCTATGAAAATTTTAAAACTAGGGTTAAAAGGGGATAATGTACAGGTTCAGTGCAAGATGTCAAAGGTATTTTTTCAGACTAAAAACCTTAGACCCTTAATGGACACGCATTATTTTATCAGCCCAGAACCTCCCCTCCCTTGTTCTATATCGATCCTCACACCTCCTGCCATGTTGTCTCAAGCCCATCACTCTATAACCCCCTCAAGGGCAAGAAACACATTTACGTGCTCTGAACCCCCAATGCCTAGAACAGCATCAAGTGCTCACATGAAAATAGGTTGAAAGAATGAACCAAAAGGGCTTTTGCTCTATTGTCAATAATGCGCACATCAATAGGGGCAAAGCTGCTCATCAGCTGGGTACATCTCATCTGCCATCTCCCCACCCACCCCAGCCTCAACTAGCTCCCCACCTCAGCACCCTGACCCTCACCCACCACCCCACTGACTACTGCACACAACAACTGAGGAGAAACTCCAGGTACTCCTGGGCCCTGCTCTAGGATTCCAACTGACTAGAATCCTGACTGGTCCATACTCAACACCTGACTGGTCATCAGCCAATATTCTACAATTTTTTTTAAAGGTTCATTGATTTACTTGGGGGGGGGGGGGGAGTGGCAGAGGGAGAGAGAGAATCCCAAGAAGATTCTGTGCTGAACGCAAAGCCCAACACAGGGCTCAATCCCACATGACCTGAGCTGAAAGCATGACCTGAGCTGAAATCAAGAGTCTACTGCTTAACCAACTGAGCCACACAAGCTCTACTCCAGAATTTTAAAAATATTTTTATCTTTGTACTGAACATTAGATTACCTACGTATATAGTTATATAGACTTGAAAAAACAAACTGGAAAAAAAAAAAAAAAAAAAAGAAAGAAAAAACAAACTGGGATTACAGGTAACATTTCTCCAACTTTTCCGTCTCCCAGCATTTCTAAATTCTCTAAAACCAATAGATATTACAACTTGGTAACTTTCTTTAACATAATATCAAAGGGTAAATATATCTACTCTGGACCAAAGATCTTAACTGAGGGAGAAAATAAAATGAAAGGGCTAATTTAAAATATTTTGGGGGGGGTGCCTGGGTGGCTCAGTCAGTTGAGCATCTACCTTCAGTTCAGGTCATGATCTCGGGGCCCTGGGATGGAGCCCCAAATGGAGCTCCCCACTTCTCCCTCTTCCACTGACCCTCCTCCAAATCATGTTTTCTCTAATAAAATCCTCCAAAAATCATAAAATAAAATGTGCTTTTCAATGCAATTCTACTTATTAGTCTTGACAAATATTTATTTTTAATTTAGAGATAACTGCATGTGCGCGTGCATGCGAACACACACACACACACACACACACACAACACACCTTACCACTAAGGCCTGAAACTGGGTATAAATCGAGTTACTCTTGATAAGTGTATAAACTTTTAAATCCATACTTATAAACCAGGACAGAAAATAAAGTTTATTAAAACTTACATGAATCTAAAAGGATAGCTCCCAGCATTTAACACTCATTAAAGAAATCAAAATAAACAAATAAAAAAGGAAAGAGTAAAGAAAGAAAAACGTTCACTAACTCCTTGTATTTTTCAATTCAAGAGGTCAAGAGTGAAGAATGACCCCAATATGTCAAGTAAATAGGAAATGTCTACTCGTGTGGCTTGGCATAAATATTTATGGAACTTCATGCTTCATAACCCCTCATGTTCTTACATTATGGTTTTATCTCTTAAAAATACAGAAGCAAAACAAAAACTTTGCAAAGGTTCTGGGATGAAAAGCAATCTCGCTAACTGAAGAGGTACAAAGCAGCCAGCACGGTCTCCTGACTTGCGCAGCATGGCGATTTCGGGAGAACAGAGAGGCCACTCTCTACTTCCTCCAGTAACTCTGCTGCCTTCGATTTGGTTTTCTATTAACTCTGATCTTTCTTGGATTTGAATGTGAGCCACAACAGGGTATTTCACCGCACAAGACATGTTATGGGACTATGATTCCAGGAAAGGAAATAATGTCATCTGCAGGTCTCTCAGTAAATCCATTCTTCAGAGCATTCTTTCCTCACAAATCTAGGGTTCAATACTGAAACCAAATTGCAACGGTGGCATTTTCATTAAGCCCAAGAGTCTTTTGTATGTCAAAGGTCTATCCATAGACAAAATGACTAAGGTTTTACATAAAGAAAATACATGTTCCCATCTTTTATCAACATTAAAATGCAATACTGGCTTCATTAGAATTAAACATACCAAAAACATGATAATTAGATTAAAAATTAGAATGAAGCTGCTATCAAGATTTTTCTTTCTCTGACATAAATAAAAACTTACCTGACAGGTTTATTAATTTATTTTTGTAATGGAGAGCTGAATGGCTCCTTTTAGTATTTATTAAACACCAAGATCCAGAACTTTAGGTCATAAGACTAAGTGTGTGAAAAGGAGAAAAACTACCGTGAACTCCAGCCTCCCATTTGGTAACGACAGCAAAGGAGAAAGAGAGAGAGATGCTGTTCAGTATCTGGACTTTCACTGCCACAGCCACCTTCTGTACCGCACAGCTCACTGCCAGCTTGTCACACTATCACTTCTGACTTTTTAAAGATTTTATTTATTCATTTGAGAGAGGAAACACACATAGCAGGCGAGAAGCAGAAAGAGAGGGAGAAGTAGACACTCCACTGAGCAGGGAACCCAACATGGGGCTCAATCCCAGGACCCTGAGATCATGACCTGAGCTGAAGGCAGATGCTTAACCAATAGAGCCACCCCGGCGCCCTCGTCCTCTCACTCTTGAAATGCTCTTCAAGGTCACTGGGCATCACCGACAGTGCTTTCCATTAACACTATATCCTTTCCCCAACTATGCCAGCACAGCTCACAATAACTGACCTGATTCTTATTTTTCTCTGGGAAATCTAATCAACAGCCTATTAATATGCCTCTGATAATTAGAAGCCAATTGTCAGCCTGTTTACATACATAGCAGTCTGAGACAGAAGTTATTGAAGACCAGAGTACTACTTGGCTAAGGAAGCAAGGGTGAAAGTCATATCTTTTGATTATCATCTCCAGAATTATTTCTCGTCAAAGAGCTATCATATTTATATATACCTAATACACTTTAAAGTTGCAAAGCTTAGTATCGGCAAATTTTTCAAGTTCTGACAGGCAAATCTATAGTAAGTGCAACAGAGAAACCTAAATAAGGTGAATAGAGCCAAAATTTAATCACAAAGCAAAAGCTGCTTTTGACTTCGCAGAGTAAACGCCAATGTGGCAAATTAATATGAGGGAGAGAAACCTCATGACACCCTGAAAATTTTTCAAATGCATAATTCACTTACTTGTTTTTTATTCCACAGTCTTTGTGTAATTCTCAAAACCGTGGGAAGCAGGTTTCCAAATTAATATATATAGTATATCTATTTCATCATTTAAAACCAAAACCCCATAACTGAACAGTTCATCTGTGGGTCAATTCTGCCATCTCCTGGTTACAAATGGAATCACAGCGGGTGATAAAATAACAGCAATTTCTAACTCCTAATCTACCATCTTTAGGGTTTAAATTTTATCTATGGATAGGGGAACATAAGTTCATCATACCTTTCTTACTTATAAGACTCTTCCCACTTACATAAATAGTCAGTAGGCATTAGAAAAAAAAATTTTAATTTTTGTAGCTATTAGTCTTCTCTTGTCTGACAAAACTACTGTCCTTGATTATCTCCATTCTGGACAGAAAGTTAATAGTCTTCTCAACAAAAATAATGACATCATCTTTTGAGGTTTTGTTTCTGAAGGCTGTTCATACAATTTTACACAAGACTTAAGCCTGAAATGGCTTTTTCAATTTTGTTCCTTTCCATAACAGTAATTAGCCATGATTTCACAGGTGACGACAAAGGTCCCACAGACAGATGCACAGACTGTGACCCACATAAAATCTCACAGTGGAGGAGACTGGCATTTAATGCTAATAGTATTAGTTTCCTATTGCTGTTCTGACAGCAATGAATTACCACACATTCAGAGACTTAAAATAACACAAATTTACTCTTACACTTGTGGAGGTCAGAATTCCAAAACAGGTCTTACTGAGCTAAAAATCAACTGCCAGCCAGGTGAATTTCTGGAGCCTTTCTGGAGGCTCCAAAGGAGCATCTATTTCCTTGTTTTGGGGGGCTACCTGCATTCTGTGGTTTGTGGTCCCTTTCTCTCTTTTCAGGACAGAGTACAGCATCTTAAAACCTCTCTCCCCGACACTTCCGGCATTCCTCTTATAAGGACGTTTATAATTACATTGGGCTCACCTAGATAATCCAGGAAGATCTTCCCAACCCAAGATCCTGAACTTTATCTGATCTGCGAAGTTCTTCTCGCCATGCTTAGGTGGCATATTCACAGGTTTTAGGGTCTAGGACATCTTTAGGAGGCCATTATTTTGTCTACCACAGTAACCAACGGCAAATTTTAGAACTCTGACCTTTTCTTATTTTAAGAAACTCACAACGGGGCAGCTGGCTAGCTCGGTTCATGCAGCACGCAACTCTTGATCTTGGGGGTATCAGTTTGAGCCACATGTTGGGGGTAAAGATTACTTTAAAAAATCTTTTAAAAATAGGGGCACCTGGGTGGCTCAGTGGGTTAAAGCCTCTGCCTTCGGCTCCGGTCATGGTCCCAGGGTCCTGGGATCGAGTCCCGCATTGGGCTCTCTGCTCAGCAGGGAGCCTGCTTCCCCCCACCATCCCCGCCTGCCTCTCTGCCTACTTGTGATCTCTGTCAAATAAATAAATAAAAATCTTTAAAAAAAAAAAACAAAAAACCTTTTAAAAATAGAAGAAAAACCCTATAGGGATCAGAGTTCACAATATTACCCGAGTAATACACATCTCATCTCTAGTTTTGCACCACTTCTGCCATTTTAAAAATAGTCCATTGAAAGGAG